TTGTTCAATAATAAAATTATTCCTCAAAAATACAACTTGCCTAATAATTCTGCACTCCCTGCAGTTTGCTGTGTAGGAATTTGAAGTTCGGAAAGATTGACACAAACGGTAAATGGTGAGGTGAGTAATAAATATACTTTTAGCAAATCACATCTCAACTCCCATTGTGAGGAAACAGGATTTTATTTGTGTTCTTCAAATGCTGCAGGGGTTTGAAGACTTTCAGCTGTGAACAATGGGTACTGTCAGAACCACTCATAAAACAGACTGACTTACTGATGCTTCTGCTTTAAATCACAGTAAACTTTTATTTAAATGTAATCAATGTAAAGTAAGTAGTATTGGGTTAAAATACATGTTACCTTTGTTCATTTACTGCTGTGCTTTTCCTGAAGTATTAAAAGCTTTTGACAAAGTTACAGCAGGGAGAGAAGCGGAGCCAGAACTACCTGTAATTCTGAGATGTCGGCAGTCTAAGACCCAGTTACCCAAATGCTAAAACAACTTTAATCACTTTGCTTCATTTCATGAAGCTTCCATGTGTATCCGCCATGTTTGCCACACTAAGCATTAAGTTTACTACACAGACACAAAGTTTCACAGTTAGAGATGCCAAAGTGACGTAGTGCTACTTGCACTGGTTTTTGTGGTGCCGCAAAAATAAAACATGAAAGTCAACTATAGGTTTGAAGACATTTTTTAAAATACATTGACATCAAAGTGACTTATGGCTTTTACAAGAGGATTTATAACTATTTAATTTTTTTAATTAAATGGTCAATATTAATCTGTTAATACATTATGGTATTTAAACATTTCCATAATATAACATTTTTTAAAAAATGATATAATTACTGTTGTTTATAGAACCTGACAAAGCTGAAAACTTCAGCCATACGTTGCATCGTATACAGTGTTCCTATGCCTTCATACAGTAAAAGCCAACAATCCACCAAGGCGGGAAAGAGGTAAAGTGTAAACTAGCAGAAGAGTGAATGGTCCCTCCGGAGGTCCTGTCAGTGCTTCATACGTCAACTCCCTCCTCTTTTAGAAGTCTGTTATCTAACAGGACCACAGCCACCTGTATTTGCCGTGGTTTCAGCACTGTTGCGCTAACATTCATAGTCCTCAATGGAACAGTGCTGTCGTGGTTACAGTGCTGTTACGTTGCTATCTTCTCTCATGCTCTCCTCACTGCTACTAGTTGTGTGGGTGGAGTTTCCGTTGTGGCTGGAGATCATCATGGCGCTGTCTCTCAGGGATGCTCCGACATTACTGGGCAATGAGACACTCTGTGGGAGGGGCCTACCCACGGTGTAGCTATGTGGCCCATTGCTAAGTGAGTCTCTGTCGGGCATAGTGGTGCTGTTAGTGACCCGGTGGGAGTCGTAGGGTGTCAGGCAGTCATTCTCCAGAATGAGGTCACCTTCATCATCATCATCACCACCATCATCACTGTCACCCTCAGCAATGCTGTTGCTATGGTAACAAAAGACATGCCAAATGATTAAGAAAAAAGTGAATGCAATATGAACTGCACGTGTCCGTTCCTATTGGCAACTTATGAATAAAGTTGAGAATTCAGCTAGCTTTGACTGCATTTTTCTAAAATTCATGATTCTCATTATTATTTCAAAACAACGGTTTCAATGAAGTTTCATTTCATTAAACGTTTAAGCACAAACTTCTTTTTCTTTTTCTCCTTTAACAGATATGATGTATGCCAGTGCTGCCACAGTCCCCATTCTTTCTGTTCATAAGCAGGCCCAAAAAAAGATAGTATGCATGACAAACCTTGCAGTGATGGGATTGCTCAGAGAGGCGGGGCTTTGTGAGTCATGTGACACGGCAGAGCCTGTAGATCCAACTGAGCCCAGAGAACCCGAGTTACCTACGGAGGTTTTACTCCTACGATGCGTAACATTGTTCCTCTGGTTAGCTGGCTTTACGGTCACAATAAGGTTGTGACTATTTGCCACCATCATGTCTGTGACCTAAAATGACAGATGAGATAGTCAAATAGGGCTTAAATGATGCGATGAAAAATGCAGCTGTTTTTCTTAGATTTAAAGTGTACATGTTATATATAACATATAATTGAATATAATATTGTGCAATTTGCACTCCACTCTTCTCCACACAATGCCAGTCTTACTTTATTTGTTAGTTTATTTGTTATTTATTGTAGACTTTACTATTTTTACTCTTTATCATGTTGCTGTAACACAAAAGTTTCTTTTTTGCACTGAAACATGTGACAGTTAAAAGCTAAACTTTAGCCATTAAGAGCGGCCCATGGTGAAATTAGCCATTTGTTTTACCAAACTGTATTCTACAAGGTGCGTGTGCGTAAGTATGGGAGGGCCCGGTAGCTTTTAGAGACTTGATTGGGCAATACATTGTCAGTAATTAAAATGACCGAATGGGCTGCTGTCAGTGCTTGTAAAGCCAGTGCGCAGCAGCGCTTCAATTGACCCATTGTCCCAAAAATGTGTTGGCCTACCAGTATGCCAGATTACCAGTCCAGCCCTGATTGATTATCATTAAAATGCTCTAATGAGTGCATATAGAGTGACTTAACACCCCGTTACTTTGATACATACAAACGCTGGTCTAATCATTACTACTACTTTTACTTCCTAAGCTGTTTTTGAACTGTTACTTTGTAAGCTTGTATCCACTACGGATAAAGAAAAAAACAAAACGACACACACAAGTGCGACTGTGTTGTAATTTATGGGCAAAGTACATTTACTGTTCATGAAAAAGAAGCACACTTGAATCTTGATCAAGTTAATTCTGAATCTTCTTCTGTATATATTGAATTTTCTTTGAGCCTGGAAGGGCATTTACCTGATCCAAAGATTTTCCTGCTACATCGATGCCATTGACCTCGAGGATCTCGTCGTTAACACCCAACAGCCCAGTGCTTTCTGCTAACCCACCACGCACAAGACGAGATATGAACACCCCTGGAACCTTCAGGAGCAAGAAGAAAGATACAAATATGAGACAACAGCTTTTAGCTATTATAGCTGATATTCATATATTCATAACTTTTGTCTTTATGTCTGCATGAAGGTGCTACTTGCTGATATTTTTAGAGAAATTTTGAGATGGGGGTATCTTACCGGCCCAATCATAACTGCACAATTGGTACATCATTGGTGAATTACAGGGAAATAATTCATCAATTTTGTCAGCATTAAAGGCAGAATACTGTCTTGTAAGCAGGGTAAAAGCAAAGTAACAAACCTTACCTTCTCTACGCCCTGCGGTGTCACCCGCACGCTCACGCCGTCACGTATGTAGAACCCAAGTGGTTTTTGAGTGCCATGCTTGTGAAGTCGTACCCGTCGATGTGTCTCAGGCAAAATGTCCACATCGATGATTGAAGAAATCTGTCTGAAGTTCTTTGGCGGTCCAATCATGAGGCCAGATCTGCCCTTTGAGTGGGTGGAGCCTGAGCCAGTGGCGCGCAGGCTCGTTAAGCCCAGCCCCTTTCTACGCCTCTGAAGGGAGTTGGTGCCAAAAATGATAGGTTCATCCTCTTTAAGAAGACACAAAAGAATGGAGACTGTTAATGGCTACTTGCTGATTTGTGATTCTTTTAAAGTGTTAAACTTTACAGTTACGGTGTATTATTTACACCATAATTGGAAAAAATAAAGTCCATCCATCTTGTTCTGCTTATTCGGGCTGGGTCGCGGGGGCAGCAGCCTAAAAAGAGAAGTCCAGACCTCCCTCTTCCTGGCCACCTCCTCCAGCTTGTCCAGGGGAACACCAGGGTGCTCCGAGGCCGAGAGATATAACCTCTCCAGCATGTCCTGGGTCTGCCCCGCGGCCTCTTCCCAGTAGGACATGCCCAGAGCACCTCACCCAGGAGGCATCTTTGTTAGATGCCCGAACCACCTCAACTACCTCCTTTCAATGTGGAGGAGCAGCTGCTCTACTCTGAGTCCCTCCCAGATGGCCGAACTTACCCGATCTCTAAGGGAGGCCAGCCACCCTTCGGAAGAAGCTCATTTCCACAAGTCTTTGATATTGGATAGTTGAACTTTTCATTCCAAAATTTCTACATTCAAAAGGTCAGAGCTTTCTTGTGTGTACTGTCAGTCTCAGATATGAACACAATATTACTACTAGCTTCAGATCATTTTTTCCCACAGTTCCATTCTGTCTGTATCCATATTTTGTCAGGAATAAAACCAGCCATTTTAGCTAACTGAACTACAGATACAGATAGCAGTTGTAACACGCAGAATAACTACTAAAATGTCAAAAAATGTAAACTTTCACAATTTTCACATTTTTCAAAACTTCTACCCAGTTCTATAAAATCTTTGAACTTATACCGGAATGACGGAAAGAGAAAAGCATGGAGAAGAGGGAGAAACAACTCATCATCTGATGCACATTAGCTGTCAAACAGGGTTAATGGGAATGTATAGCTGCCTGTGTGTGTGTGTGTGTGTGTGTGTGTATCCGTGTGTCTCCTCATGCACGCACACATTAGGTCATTGGGAAGCAGCATTAAGCAGCATTAATGGTTAATGCACAAAAATAATGTTTCCTATCAAGGCATACAGAGCCAGACTAAAGCATGAAGACACAAACATGGTTAAGCCTTCTCTAAATGCACAAATAATGCAATCAGATCCCTCTAATTTTGCAAAAGCTATTTTTGGACCACTATAGATCAACCTGTATTGATCATTATTTTGTGTTCTTGTATGTTATATACAAGGACACAAAATATAGTCTTTTTCAGAAAAGTTAAACATGTGCTAAACCTCATACAAAGTTGTTAAATTCCAGTGTGTCCCAGTTAGACCAGCTCCTACAGGAAACAGTGAGGAATGATCACTGCCCCACCACAGTCTCAAATAACTGTAAATATTTATGGCAGACCTGTGACATGCTAGCTTTACTTTGCACATTTTTTACTGAATCTCATCTTTGTTTATTTTTTGACCTGCCCCATACAGTAAAAACTGGTGACAATTCGAACCAAAAATTTCATATTTGGATTCATCCGACCTGTTGGTACTGATACTGATTTTCAGTCCAGTTCTAGCGTGACCGCTAATGATGGTAACAGCAGGCATAAACGACCTGTGTGACTGTTTTCTGCCAAAATTTTAGCCCAGCCAGGTTTACTTATTAATCAGTAGTCTTGGCATTCTGGCTGCAGGGCCTTCGCTCATCTTTTCACATTTTATAAAACACTCTATGACCTCATAATTAAATCAACAAAACACGCACTATAGCCGAAATTACAGTGAACCCACGATCTCTAACATGTATGTGGAGTGACATTGACAGACAACATCAAAGCTATAAGATCAGACATGAACCTCCCCCTCTCTGCTGGCTAAAGCTTTAAATACTTGCTGCTTACTACTATCATAAGCTTTAGAGCTCAGAAATGGTATTCAGGATGGCCGTAAAGAGTAAATCTGTGTCTGTGTCTTAGTGCCCCATATATCTGTCCCTAATGTACCATGTTTCTGTTATCTGCAGCTGTCATGAGCATTTGTATGTTTCTTTCTAGTGTGACCTCACTCTGTAGTGGCCCACCATCTGGAGCCCAAGGGGGTGCCATATGGCCATATGCAGTGCAGGACAACAACAGGCCTGTGCACAGTGCAGACAAAGGGGGAGCGTCATTCTGTAAGGGCTTTGTTACTTCACCTCCTATTTAAAAGCAGACTATTAGGTCTGAAACTGTATAATTTTTTTCAATTGTGATAAAAGCTCCTGTAATCACTGTGACGCTGTTTTACATTTAAAACAATGCATCAGACAACTGGTGCATCTATTGTGTTATTTTGTTTAAATTGTATTTGTTAAAACACACTTTTTTCAAAGCTCTTGTGTTTTGAACCCATCAACCATGATTACTTAGTCTGTTTACCGCCGCTCCATTTCTTAGTGTTTCTCTCAGTGGAACATGACATTTCTGTGCCACGTGTTACAAGTTGTACTGTCTCAGTAGTTTCCAGTTTGACTCATTTTAGTTTATCAGATGCAAAATTGTGATGTGAAAAAAGGTATTTTGTCTCTTAGTTATCATAAATCACTTCACCAACATACTCAGGGTAGAGCAGCACAAAGGTACACACTGCTCTTCTGTCAGTATTACTAAGACCGTAGTCACTTTGATTCTTCACATGGAACCTTACTGATTAAAATACATATAACTGCTTTGTTGTGTCAAAGTCTACTCGATGTAGGCTTTGTTGCAGTGTTAATGTGTTAAAGTAATCAACACACACACACACACACACACACACACACACACACACACACACACACACAGAGTAGTGGCATTGCATGGATCTGATATGACTGATGAAGTCTCAAAAGACATCAGTCACATAAACTGAGTGGGATTATCTTGCTCCAAAAAGTTAAATAAACTCACTCATGGCTAATGGCTTAAAGCAGCAGATGGGTTTCTATCCTGTGGTATCCCCCTGTCTATCCCTCACTCACAAACACATACTCACAAATGCACACCAGTGCTAACACACAAAGACAAGCTGTAGTAAAGGTCAAAATGAATGTAGCCAAGTAAGAGGAATTGAAGTGGAGAGAGAAGCGTGTAGGAAAGGAAACACATATCTGCTGTTTTCAGTGTAAAATGAACTTCTTGTTGCCTTCATAAAGGGTTTGATGATGTCTTCAGTCATTTAGAAGTCTTTCACATTTCACTGAATACTTACAAGTGACACTAGTGAGCAACAGAGCTGCTACAAAGACTACTAGTAAAATTGTGAGATCCTTACTGAACTTATTTGAGACAGACCTGGTTAGTTAAAAACAAACTATCGTCACCACTTAATCTTCCTGTTGCTCTATCCTTCAGCTGTGCAAATTTTGCCAATCATGTGGATGCAGTGAATAAATGGGATTACACTTCAGGAACGAAAGATAAGTGATTGTGGGAATAGATTTTAGCTGCCTTACTCAAGTCCTAATCCTTTCTAGTGACGCCACTACTCCTAATGCAATGCATGGGTTTAAGATTTTCCAGTAGGATTTACAGGATTTTATCATTTCTGGACTGCAGAGTTTAAAAGAGTACACAAAGCGAATACAAGCCTCCTCAATAAGATTTCAACAAACGTATTGCACGTGCACATGTTTGCTCTCTCTGTGTTTCCAGGGCCTTGTTTTCCTGAGCTCGCTTCCTTTTTAGTTCCCCAGACCATAGAGCTGATCTGATTTGCTGGCAGCTGTCTGTGACTCCGATCTCTAGCAGCCTGCTAAGCAGCACATTAATGTCATCACATCCTGAGTTATGACATAGCATGAAAAGGTGTACTGGGAGACAACAATGGTACAGTGTGTTAGAAAACACTCACATAATCCATAATGATGGATGGATAAACATCACCACTGTCAGCAGGTGTAATAAGTGTTTCTGCTTCATATGTAGTGTCTCAGGGGTAAACAATAAAGCTCACTAACATTCCAGTCTACCTGTAAAGTTACAGGATACATTTTTGTCTTTCTTGAATTATTCACTCTTGCTATGTCTTGGGCACAAAGTATGTGCTACCAGAGGTGTGTGCTACGAAGCCAGTTTAACTGGTTAGTGACGTCATAGTTGTCAGTGTCACAAGGGTGGTTCTCTTTTTAAACTTGGATACATTACTGTGGATTATGTTCAGAGCTTTGGAAGTGCCAATTTTTCACTAATTCTTGATTTGTATGCTTTAAAAAGAGATTTAAAATTAGAAGAAGCTGCCATTCTCAGGGAATACTGAGCTTGCTGACCTCTGCCGATTCAGTGAAGTAAAATCCAGACACATAAGGGTAACAAATAAGTCCTCAGTGTACTTTTGAGCAATTAAATGATTTCAAAATTAACATGAAATTTAACAAGCAGTCAGATTAAATGCCAGCACTGGAATAAATTGTTTAGAACCAGCTGGAGTCAGTGAAGTGAGCTCGGGAAAAGCTCAGGAAAAATGCGTGCATGACCTAAATTGTCGGACAAGAATGATCAGATTCTGTAAATTCTTTAAAACTGGTAAGCAGTGATTGATTAAAAATAAGAGCAACGGGATTGTTCATGTATAGCGAGGGTGTGCTGGGAATGCCTGGCAAAGGCCCCCGGTCCACGAGATCTTAAACTCCCACTTCAGGTGGAACTTCAACAGCATTCCGAGGGAGGCTAAGGACATTGAGTCCGAATGGACCATGTGCAACACCTCCATTGCTGTACATGAGGCTACAGGCTACTGCACTGAGCTGCAGCTGCAAGGTGGCCGGTGCCTGTCATGGTGGTAACCTCCGAACTTGATAGTGGATAACCGAGGTGAAGGGAGCCAACACGCTACAGAAGGAGTCCTGTTGGGCTTGGTTAGCTTACGGGATTTCAGAGGCAGCTGATGGGTAACGGCAGGCCTGGAAACGCCTCGGTGTTCTCCATTAAAAGCTGGAGGAAATGGCTACGGACAGGGAGGTCTGGGCTTCTCTGCTTAGGCTGCTGACCCAACAACGTGGCCCCAGATAAGCGGAAGAAAATGGATAGACAGGTGGATGTGATCGTCCACTAGTAAATGAATCATTGATGTTATTCTCTTGGAGGGACGAAAACATTTTAAAAAGACATGAAATATACTTTGGAAGCCATTAAAATAACTGTAGGATCAATGTGTAGAAAGACATATAACATGTTTAAGAGATCTGTCATTTAGACTGCTTTGCAAAGTAATTTTTCAAGCCTAATTAACTAAACATGTATTTTTACCTCATTTTTTCTCTTACCTCTCTTGGTTATAATAATGCGGAGCAGCGGATTGGCTGATGCAATGGCTTTGTGGTAATTTTCATCATTGTTGATTGGAAGGAGGTCCCCGTGGACATCTGCATATCCTAGTAGCACATCAACACCAGGGATGTGATGAATCGTTTGGAGGAGGCGGTAGAACTCCTTGAAGCCCCCTGGACCATTTCTCTTCAGAGCAAAACGACGATATTCTGCATCAAACTGTAGAAGGCAACAAACACACATCAAATGATTTTTAATAGTGAGGCTCAATCTGTGTTTACAATTTTAGCTAAATGTAATACTAAGCATTTTAAGTGTGGCTAACCGCTACAGCCACTAACTAGGAATGGATAACAAAACCTGTTGAGCCTATTTAACATACTTTGGGATTCATTCTTGAAGACCGTAGTCCTTAAGAGTTTTGATACGATGTCACCTCTAAGCATAGAAAAAGTGTGATGTCACTAAAACCTATCTAGAAAGGTTTTAGACACTTCCCTCACATCCAACCTGTGGGGCATACACACTGACAACAGTCAACATCGGCTGTTTCATTTCCAGCTTCAGAGTCATGATTCTGTCTGACACTCTTCAACTTCAGATCACTGTTAACAAACTCTTCCTTCAACATGACCCCCACTCTATTCTCTTCCTATCTGTACTATGAGAGAACAGCTTGCATCCACCTCCAATGCCCCTGGCCTGGGTTCCTTTCACCTGGTCTCCTGCATGCACACTATATCTAACTTTCTTCTCACCATCATATCAGCATCTCTCTCACTTCAGCAGTCATAGTCCCTACATTTAGAGTCCCTGCGTTCACCTCCACAACCCTGCCTTTGTTTCTCCTTGTTTTCAGCCAGCAGAAGCACAGTTTCCACCAGCACCCTCATGGCCAACAGCACTGGAGGCTGTGGGTTCGACTGATCTGACATGGAAATCTCATTCTTGATCATCTGCATGTTTTATTTTCCAAAGATATTATGCCGGATGCCCTTCCTGACACAACCCTCTCTATTTATCTGGACCTGTTTACCGCCATTTCCTGTAGCTTCTCTCTCAGTAGCAGCGACTGCATTGCGTTAAATCAAAAAGGGGATCCTCTTAATGCATTCCTAATTATCGATTCAATTCCATTTTATTTATATAGCACCAAACCACACAACAATCGCCTCAAAGTGCTTTATATTAGTATAGTATAGAAGTAAATTAATCTACATAGATAAGGCTAACGTGAACACCGACAGTAAAATTTGAGATTTTGTTTCATTTCAGTGCTAAAATCCGAGCCCCTCATAAAGGCCATCCTCAGTAACCACCTTTGATATGGATGTAAAGGTACAGTGCCCATTTCATGAATGGAAACACAAACAAGGAAAAATCACAGGGAACTGTAGGGACAGTACTGGTACAGGAGTTTAAACATATTTCAAATATTATGGAATATTTGTTATTTTTATGTACTGTAGTAACAAATCTTAAAAATTATGTCATTCTATCAGTCTTCCTGTATCGTGACATCTCCAACTTGCATGATGTACTGACAAGGCACGTACTGTTTGGAACTAGTGATGCCTGGCGAAAGCAGAAATGTTTAAAAATTGTTTAATTAAAACTGAGACATGACCTAAAACTCAAACTCTGGAGTTTAATTTTTGTCCCAACTGTATATTATAACAGAAACTTTCAAACAGTAATTACACAATGAGATCCACGCTGACTTTGTTTTGTCTCCCAACATTATGCTTCTTCCGGTGGATATTAACACAAATACTGTGCCTCCCTTTAGCTCTATAATTAACAGCACAGAGTATTAGACCTCTCACTGGCATGTTTGCCTTGAAAGCTATACTGGGCGTGCTCAGTGTGAAGAATGTGTGCTTTATCAGAGCATTCATCTGTATCTGGGACTCTAGGGTGGCATGCTACTTTACCAGTACTGTCATATGATATATGGAAATGTTGACGTTGCTGCATTCAGGGCCGTAATCAGGTTTTAGGGATTAGTGGGGTACAGAAGAGTCACACTGGTGCTCTTTGTTTAAGTAAAACAATAAGGTTATTTTTAAAGTGCTTTTCACATATGTGTTGGCATAAAGTGCTCACATGTTCTTATGAATAATAACAATACGATTGAATGGAAAATGGAAGCACAGTTAACAGGAATATAAAGCCAAGTTCAAACACAGCATGAAAGAAAATATTATAAAGAAAGTTATTAAACAATAAGAATGAGTCCACAGAGTTGGATAAATGAAGTCAAAGTGGGACTTCAGAAATCCAAAATTTCTTTTGCCACCGGCTGAAAGGCTCCATCCCCACCCCAATCTCACACGAGTAACACATTCTGAGATAAAAGATTGCTGCATTTCCATTTAGTGCTCTGTATATAAGTAGCCGGTGTTGAGTATAAAGCAGGAGTAATATGAGTTGACTTAGGAGAAAATATAAGTATTCTGGTGGCAGCATTTTGTATTGCTTGAAAATGAGAAGGAGATGATTTCCTGGATGGGATTGAGCAGAAAAAAAGCTGGGATCCAAGGAAAACTGAGGCTGTGCTCAGTGACAATGTATCTGACCACTTGTTCCCTTGCGTGCCCCACTGACTGGAACTTCTCATCTATAGACTGATTCTCCGGGTCGTACTACCTCAGGCTGCTTCACCCTGTCTCTCCTTGTCAGCTGGTCTCTGATCCTGCAGTCCTCAGCATTCACTGACGACTTAGAGTCAACCTGCGCTTTCTCTGCTGGCTGCTGCTGTTGATAATTGTGCAACTTTACAGATGGCACTCTGTCATTCTGGAGCCAATAAATCATTTGCATTGAATGATTTTGTTGGTTTCATGAAGTTTGACTTTTTTGTTCTGAACTGAATCCTGGTAGCGCAGGACAGACTACAGAGGCCTCACTGGGGTTGGTTCAGATGGGTACTGGGACCCTGGCAGAGGAGGAGGAGAACTAATATTAGTGTTTGGAGTGTTTCACCAGTTAGCATCGCAGTGGATGCAGGACAATTTTATATCTTTGAACTTCAGCTTGTTAGAGTTGGAGGTAAAAACTAATCTACCAACCACCTGGTTCTATCAGCCCTGGTCAAAGAAAACAGAGCTGTCTATTTTACAAGGCTGGCTTTTAACAGTCAGCACAATCCAACATTATTATTTGATACCATTACCATGATCATATCACCTGCTTAACCTGCTCTTTCTGTTTTTTCTGATGACAATAGGAAAAATTTTCTTCATTTTTTTTCTTACACAGGTGCAAATGAAAAATACAATGTTATGCACTGGCTCTCCATCCATTCTGTCCCAGGCTCAGCATAGAAATCTCTCTAGTTTATACACCTGTGGCCATGAAAGTGATTAGAACACCTGAATTCAATAATTTGGATGGGTGAATACTTTTGGCAATATAATGTATTTATATCTGTTCCTTTTTATTGGCAACTTTGTAGAAAAGAGGAATTTGTTGCTGTGTCATTGTGTAAAACTGTTCTCATGCCATGACATGTTGTTTCTAAAGGACCACAGCCTCCTGCCAAAGGGCAGTGTCACAAACAGTTTGAGACAGGCAAGCAAGATCCATGCCGACCCCCCACTTCATAGAGTCCTGGAGGTGTCCTAGAGGTCCTGGAGGTCTGCAAGTCTTGTAGGGAGGCAGATTGCTGCCAATCACCTTCTCAGTGGAGGGAATGACATGCTGCAGTCTGCATTTGTCCTTGGCAGCAGCACGGTGATGGAGGAGGTGAGAATAGATTCATTGATGGAGAAAAACTGCACCATCACTGACGTTGCAGGTTGTATTTTCTCTGTTGTGTCTTCTTGATGAGGAGGCTGATGTTTGGGAGGGATGTCTGGTTTCCACTGTCATCTCCACTGTTTTCACAACATTTAAGCTCCAGGTTGTTGTCACTGCACAAAGTCACCAGTCAATCTCGCTCATATAGACGGACTCATCTCCACATGAGATAAGCCCAACAGGGTGGTGTTATTTGCAAACTTTGGGAGTTTACAGACTGGTGTCTGGAGGTGCAGCTGTTGGTATACAAGAAGAAGATTAGAAAAGTAAAGACAGAGCCCTGAGGGGAACCAGTGCTGATGCAATGAAAGACAGGAAGTCAATGATCCACCTGCAGGTGGGAGCAGACACATTCAGCTGGGAGAGCTTTTCCTGCAGCAGAGTACGGATGAATATATTAAAAGCACAACCAAAGTCCACAAAAAGTAGCCTAGCATAAATTCCTGCAGAGTCCAGGTGCAGTGCCATGTTAACAGCATCACCTACTGACCTGTTGGTTCTGTAGGCGAACTGCAGGGGATCCAGGAGGGAGACAGTGATAGAGTTTAGATGTGATAGTACCAGACGGTCAAACTCTTCATGACTACAGAGGTCAGAGCAACAGGTCGGTTTGTGATCCCTTTTTAAAAAAAATGGAACAAGAATGATAAGTCCTGTGGAAGCAGGCTGGCACATGACATGTCTCTGATCAGCACAGGGCTTCAGGGTGGATGGAGACACTGAGCCTGGTCCTGCTGCTTTCTGGGTGTTCTGTTTTGAGTTTGTTTACATCTCTTTCAAGTAGAGAGAGAGGTTTCTAGGGAGATGGAGAAATTACTGAAGGGATGAGCATTTGAGTCCAGATGAGGGGAGCAGTATTGCTGAATAACAGTCACATCATTACACCAGCCACTGTAAGCAGAAAACCAGATACCTCCACCTTTGTCTTGCCGAAGAACTTCATGTGGCAATCTGCTCTGAAGAGTTGGAGTTCTACCAACTGCACCACAGAGTCCAGTATAGATCCACTCAAGTTTCCATAAAACACAAAACAGCCAATTTAGAGCAGTCTCTGTTTTTCCCCATCAATAGCTGGAGTTCATCTATTTTACTGCCCAATGAGCTTATGTTCCCTGTAGTGGAGTACGGAGGCGGTGGAGATGCAGGAGCGTACCGGCTTGCTTTCCTCTCCTACAGCGTCTCACTTCATGAACCTGAATGGCCAGATCAGGCAATGAATGATGGAAATAAGTCCTCAGGAGTTGTAGCCCTGATGCTCATTAGCTCATCTCTGGTGTAAAAAGTTCTGGTTGTATGGCAAAGCACAGAGTAAAGCTGAAAGACTGCGCAAAAGATTCACGAAACTGTTCCCACTAAAAATGTAAACAACAAACCGGTTGAGTTAAAAACACAGCAGCCAGTACAGCAAGGCCATGAAGGCATCTGAGCAGGAAATATGATCAGCTGGTGACGTGTGACCCAAAAGTAAACAAATGACTCAGCCATCATCACTGGACCACCAGCTAGTTATACTCCATACAACCAAATGACATATCACAACTGTCATCTTGAGCTGACAGTTGTTGTGAGTTGGTGCTATATAAATACAACTGAACTGAACTGAATGACAGGAAGAGCAGAGATTGGACAGTGGGTAAGATACTGATCCATTCTTCAGAGGGTAAGTGTGTGACTGATAGACAAAAGCACTAGGTGAATGTGTGTGTGTGTGACTGCGTGAATGAGACAAGCAGTAGAAACTGTTGTAAATGATGAAACTGAGGAGAAAGGTGTTGTATAAGAACCAAACCATGTACTGATTCTAATAGGTGATAACACCGTCCCGCGTTACTGAACTGTTGAGTTACTTCAGTTACTGCTAAAGAGTTAAGCATTCGACTCACTCTTTGTCACTGTATATAATGCTGTCACTCTTACTGCACTATAATGTGTCATCACTGACAGTAGCACACTGGAATAAAAGGAAAATCTCCCTCTTTTTTTGCACTAATCAGTGCTGCTGTCTGCAAGCTGCACTCTCTGATACAATGTTCATTTAGAACATCATCAAATTCATATTATTGGATTTCCTTAAAAAATGGATATCATTTTGAGGCTATGTTGCCCATTCTAGTGTCAATTTCTTTGGATAATCATGGGAAACACAACTTGCTTATAAAGGATGAACGTTGCCACTGTGACATGACCCACTGGTTAGTAAATCCCATTGTAAAGCTAAAAATGTTCCCTACGCGATCAGTTTGCAGGCGGATATCATGAGCACGGCACAAACCTGACTGTGAAGCAGAGGAAATCACAGAATTCTCTAACAGGAGCTTCATTTACTAAACTGCCCTTCATGTTGTTTGACTTTAAGCACGTCACAGGACACAGACTTCTACAGAACCACAGGTGTTTCTGACACACCCCCTCCTACCTACAAAAAACTGCGTGGGTTTGAGCACTGACTCAGTCTACATATTTCTATACGTGGACTGGTCCACATTCTTCATGTGAAACCAGTCTACAGTCTGTGCGAGGCGGCTGAAGGGCCTGTGGAAGGTTTTATCTTTAAACTATTTTTCAGGCTCTTCTAACATTAGCAATAAAAAGTACATTGAAAATGCTGCCAATATTTGAGTTTACGGACACAGCTTCACCTAAAAAATATTTTGGTTTTCATCTTCATGAAAGCACTTACTATTACAGAATAATCGCACTGTAATTTTATGTGTTCGGTATGCTTATTTCTCATTATTTCTCTTATTACAAAAGCTAAACCTCACAAACAACTAAAATGTAAACACCAAAGAATAAGCCAACAACAGCTTGGCACCACACACACACACACACACACACACACACACACAGATCGAGTTAAACACAGGACTGGGATTATCGAGGCTGAGCAGGCTGACACGATGTTGATGGTGTTGGTGGGGGGGCTGCGGGCGGCAGCAGCCAGGCCGCTGTCAGCTGAACCCGGTCGGATTTCGTTTCTTCTAAATATCGCGTGAATTTGCAGCGGCCAGATATTTGTGTTTGTTACATCACGATCTGGATGAGAAGAGCGGAGGGCTGGGGTCCTGATAACGCACACCCTGCGTCGCTAACAGCATCAGTCAGCAGCCCATCACTTACTTTGCTCTTGACCTCCACCAGGTTGTCCGACAGTCTGAACGAAGTCCGCTGTTGCTGCTGCTGCTGTTGCCTGGACATTGTGCTCCTCGGTCGGCTGCTTGTCTGAGGCACTGCGGGTAAAAATATCCGCTGGAGGTCTGACAGCCTGGCGGCTCCCTCCTCTACTCTCGAGCGTAAAGCTGCTGAGGGGCTGCAGCGGTATTGGTGTTGTCCTCGGACAGGCTCCTGGCTGCCGTGCTGCTGCGGGCCCGCCTTTCGTTCCTCCCGACGCGCAGAAACAAACCCGGCTCCTCACAGGTGCAGTCCGGTAAATCCAGTATGAGATCTGAGGTACCAGCGAAACCCGCCCTTCTGCTCCCCACCCCTCCTCCTGATGAACACAGGGGGCGGGACGTGATACTGGAAGAAGAAAACACAACATGACCTGTCTATTACTCTCTCTCTCTCTCTCTCTCTCTCTCCGTGTGTGCGTGCGCGTGTGTGTGCTGCTCCATACTCCAGTGGACAGATTCATATTACTCCTCCTTTGCTTTTGCTGGCACAAGGACAGAAAGGATAATACTCTGTTCTAATGTCAAATCACTTTTACTTATATCATACTGATAGCCTGGTGAATATAAAATGTTATATTTCAGAGAAAAACTCAACTAGTGCAAACAACGCACTTTTAACCAGTGTGGAAACACCAAGACAGAAACAAAGAGTGTATTAGACAACCAGCTGTAACAACCATAAGTTATGTTCCAACCATATAATGTTAGAGCACAATAGTGCTGTGACAAAGCATTTGCATCCTTTATAAATATGCATAGTTTTATGCATATTGGGTACATGTTTCAGATCACCAAACACATTTTACTATCAGACAAAGATGAGAACATTCAAAATGCAATGTTTAAATTGTGATTTCATGATTTTCAATCAAAGAAGGCTATCCAGACCTACCTGACCCTATGCAAAACAGTAACTCCCCCATAAACCTGAGTGTGCTGCACTTGGCAGCTGAACTGCAATCAAGTGTTTGTGGTAACTGGCAGTGAGTCTTTCACATAGCTGTGGAGGAGTTTTGGCCTCTTTTTTGTTGAATTGTTTTAATTCAACCACGTTGGATGGTTTTCTAGCATGAGGTCATGTTAAAAAGCATCTCAGTCTGATTTAATTCATTTGATCATTGGTTTTTTGAGCCATTCAGAGGTGGACCTACTATATGTGTGTGGATCATTGTCCTGCTGCATAACCCAAATGTGCTTGTGCTTCAGTTCATGAACTGGTGGATGAACATTCTCCTTCAGGATTTGCTGGTAGAGAGCAGAATTCATGCTTCATCAATTACATCAAGTCATCCAGGCCCTGAAGCAGCAGAGCAGCCCCAGACCATCACACTACCACACCACCATGTTTGTCTGTTAGTATGATGTTTTTTTCATGAAAAGCTATGTTAGTTTTATATCAGATTTAACAGGACTCAAACTTTCCAAAAAGTCCAGCATGTGTCTCCATTGTTCAAGTTTTCTCCATTTGTGGATAACAACTGTAACCATAGTTACCCACGCCTTAGCAATGGCTTCATCCCCCCTGTTCAGACTAATAGATGTCAGTGACTTTGTTTCTCAGCTGTTTCCTTGGATTAAAGCAGAATTTTAGACAATTTTACTTTGTTGGATAGGTTCTATTTAAGTGATTTTGTCTGTCAAAAATTCTGTCAATAATCAGGCCTGGCTGTGGCTAATGAAACTGAACTCCATCCATCCATCCATTCGCTTCCGCTTATCCTTTTTCTGGAGCCTATCCCAGCTGTCATAGGGCGAGAGGCGGGGTACACCCTGGACAGGTCGCCAGTCTGTCGCAGTGAAACTGAACTCATCTTTCCAAAAAAAAAATGTGGTCAATCACAGTTGATTTGTGATTCAACAAGGATTCAATCCAATTTTGATTATATAGAAGCAAATCACAACAGCAGTTGCCTCAGTGCCCTTTATACTGTAATGTAAAGACCCTGCAATAATACAGAGAAAACAAAGAGATCCCAACAATCAGATAACCCCCTACGAGCAAGCACTTTGGCAACAGTGGGAAGGAAAAGCTCTCTTTTAACAGATAGGGCTACCTGTGAAGACAGGATAAAGAATTATAGTGAGTGAAGAAGACTGTAACTACAATATATGTAAATCACCAAAACTAGCTCAATTAAGGCTGAAGCCATTAGTGAGATCTTGTACACTGTTTGGTAACCTAGCGGAGAAAAAAAGTTCTGCTTTTGACATCACTGCATCTCTCCAGATTGCCAAGTAGGACCAGATGAGAATGCTATTTGACAGCAAAGGCTACAGTAAGGACACTTCGCCGATGTCTCCCTAGTGTGAATTGAAGCAACGGGTGACCTGGTGGGATTCTGGTGAGTATTAATGTAAAGCTTTGTCTAATCAGTAAAGTCTTAAACAAAATGCAATGGAAAAATTCATTACATGAATCAGCATAGCAATTATTCATCTGCTTTGGTGGGAGTAACTAATTAATAATTATATATATTAATAACCATTAATAATAACCAATGATGAGATTCAGAGCCGTATATAAACACACAGTGCATCATGGGAAGCCTCCAGCCAGTTAGGCCAGTGTGTTTGTGTGTGTGTATCATGGCAGGGCCCCTGCTTATATAAGAGACTGTTTGCCCTTTAACCTTTAATTTGGTTCGGTGTCTTGCTCATGGACACTTTGGCATGTGCATTTAGTAGACAACCCACACCTCAGAAATGCTCAGAAGGACAGAGAGATGGACAGAGAGATGGACAGACATGTCTAATCCTCTCTTGTCTTCTGTGCATCACCAACTTGCCACTTCTTTAGCATTATGGTTTGCTTTAATGTTAGCCTATGAGTTAGGGTCATTCAAATAAGGGTCATGGTTGGAACATGTTGATCAGAAGGATTGTTGAAGCAGGGATATCATGTAGTTCATATAAATATATATGCCCCACAGGAGATAGCATGAGTATTAAAAACTAAAACTGTGAACACCAAAAGATCATGATTTTTGTCCCAGGTTTGAGTCAGACAAAAAATATAAGTAGAAGTTGCTATTATAGAGTGGTTGGTAATAGTGGGGTAATAAATTGGAAACAAGAAAGTATCAAGAAGGTTCATGCTGTAGTCTATGTACAAAAGCTTGAAAAGCTCTGGGAGACAGTGGTCCCTCGTTTATCGCGGGAGCTGCGTTCCAAAAATAACCTGCAATAGGTGAAATCCGTGAAGTAGCCAACTTTACTTTTTACAATTATTATAGATGTTTTAAAGCTGTAAAACCCCTCACTACACACTTTATACACTTTTCTCAGACAGGCAGGAACATTTTCACACTTTTCTCTATTGTTTAAAGTTCAAACCTTCGTGGAAAAATAAGTCCAGTATTATAGAATGAAACCAAAGGCACCTGCAGGTGCTTTTGGCGGTGCAAAACGCTGAATCAACATTGTTGTTATTTGTTGGGGAGAAAACTTACCAACATACAGTACAGCACTTCAGAGTCACACTGCTAGCGATCGAAGATTTATGTCAATTTGACAAGCTGGACGCATTCTGTGCTGTACAGAAGACGAGATTGATTCACAAAGGTCTACAGCTGATCAGGACGCAGAACACAAACTTTTATTCTTTATTCCCATTAGACCCTAATGGAAATAAAGAAGAAAGGTCTTTATAGTGTGCCACGTGTTTCATCTATTAACCTGCAGCCACACCCAGGAAACCAGATGAGTCAGGTTTAATGAATCTGAGCTCAGTCAGAGACAGAGTGAGACTGAACCAGATAAAAGTGTGCATGTGATCAGGAATGTCAGCTATGTGAGCTGACCTGCAACTGCTCTTAATCCAAAGCTCTTCTTTATGCCTTCATATTTCATGTCTCTCTGCTTTTCATTTTCTTCCCAATTCCACGTAACAAGTATTCTCCTTTGTGGCTCATTTTTATTCTTTCCTTTTAAGTTTTACATTTCCATGTTTCTCTCATGAAACCTGTCTGATTACTAATACACACATCTAATCTGAGCTGCAAACACTTCTGATTTTATTGCTTTTTTTCCGCTCAATTACACAACTCTTTTTTACTCCACTCTTTCCTTCTCGTGCTTCAGCCTCAGGGGTTTCAGTTTAATGTGTTCTTCTGTTTAATGGTTAGTGCTTTTCCTTTTTCTTCTTCACACTCGTCTTTACTATGGAGACCACTTTTTTCCCCCAAAGATAACATCTGGCATACTTTAGTGAAGTAAGACATGCTTTTAGCAACACCTCACACACATTTTTCTGCAGGTCCTGCTCTTGTATGTCTGATATGTGTGGTATGTCCCAGCTTCAAAGGTAAGTTAGTTTTGTGTGTTGAGGTGTGACAGGTGGTGATGCTGTAGAACAGGTTTTTATCTGTGTCACGTATTTTTCTGGTTGGTTTCCAGTGTAACAATACAGGGTGGAGGTCATACGCGCACACATTCCAGCATACAATGGGATGTCACTCAGGCCTCTTGACTGCTAGTCACAATAGGATCTGCATACCAGTGTCTTGTCCTACGTCAGATGATTTTATGATTGCTTTTACTTTACCCTACTGTTTGTTCAAAAAAGGAAAAATATGGATGACTTTCAGCCCATACTTCAAAAACCACTGATGCAAATGAAAATGAGAATGAGCTTTAGTTTTTGTATTGTTTTTGTTTTTTGTTTATTTTGCAAATTTTTCTATTTTTAATAAGTAGATTCATGTTACGACTCTGAATGAAGCAGAAATTTTCATTGTAAAATGAAACTGCAACTTCACAAGATGTGATTTACTTTTACTATGTAAGCAGTAGCCTAGTGAAAGTTCTTCATCTTTGTATTATAATTCAGTAAAAGGACTAGATGTTACAGTCCCTGATAATGCTTTGCTTTAGATGGAGAGACTCTTGAGGGATGGCTGTTATGAGGAAAGGCAGCCCAGAAACTTTACCAGCAGCACACATCGTTGTGTGCATCAACTTTCGGTCTTTCCCCCAGGCTAATTTTCCTTGGTTAGGTTTAGGGATTAGAGATCTGATCTAGATTAGATATTAAGATTTGGGACACATCGTCAGTAGTGGAGCTTGGATTCATCGGGTGTTTCGGCCATTATCACTAGACACCCTCATCCAAGGAGGCCCTGCCAGGGTTGATCAGGCCCTGGAGTGTGTCACTGGTTTATGTTAAATTGTTATTTCTTCTTCTTTCTTCTGTTTAGTTTTCTACAGTTTATTCTATCTATTCACTACAACTGAGCAATAATACTTACCTCTTTAGCATTTATGGAGTCTCACTTCTTCAAAGGAATGAAAAGGTGATAGAGAGAAGTAAGACAAAAGGGACAAGATAGGAGAGAGCAGAGAGGAGACCCGGAAG